TGAATGAACATTTCTGCATTGGAAGTGTGTCGCGCCTGGTTGTAAGTTTTGTTTTCATGAATTCCTTTTTTTTTGCCATCATGATTCCTTTTTTTGGTCGCACAAGGTTGGCAGCTCTGCTTATCAACCACCCCTCCACCCTCTAACCCCACAAAGCAGGCTGTAGATGAATCATGGTTTATGGGCGATGAAACTGTCAATTGCCCCAGTTCTTTCAGTATTTCGAAGAGCATTACTCCAAAAAATGATGTACTTATGTAGGAACTTCCATTAACCGAATTGGTGGATGGTTGTTACAAATTCATCTAATTTTTAAATTTCATAAAAAGAAAAATATCCAAGGCTTTTAAAGTACCGGTACAGAAGTTTAACTTGCTACTCATTTGAAATATTGTTTTGAAGGAAGAGATGTACTTACATGTATATTCCATGTCCTCCTATCTTATGTACTTCAAGGCTACACTTATTTCAGGTTGAGACAAGTATGTTTTGTTCAAGGAACTGGTGTAGAATAATCATAATTCAATTTTAATTTCAGTGTGGAAAAAACTGAATTATAGATGTTGCGTTATTTACAAAGGCAAATGCTCCACATACATTGAGTTAAGAACAGGTATGGGGTTAAACTGTTTCCAAGAACGAACATCGTGTTTTCCCCTCTCAGCACAATTGCACGCCCTGGTTTTACCTGAACTCTCGTAATGAGGGCACCATGAGAACACCTTGTTCTTGCGTTTCGGTACGCCATGTTTTCTCATCGGAATGTCTACAATCTTTCTACCCCGGTGATGTTTTTCAGCCAGGTTGATTGAATGTATGTCGGGTTGATATCGGAGGGAGACATTTATAATAGGCCACCAACCGTGTTCTACATGAATGTCTCCTGAAAACCCTAGGAAGTATATCTACCCACGTTACTAGCTTTCTATTGCTACCAGTACCATGTCTATTTCTACCATTGATCCCCCGCATGAACCCTGGACGTAGCTCTGCCCCATACATTAATACGTTTCCGCCCGTCTTCGAAAAATCCAAGTCCTTCTGACGAAATTGCTCTCCCCTTCCTTCATCTCTGCTCAAATATCCTGCCCCTTTTTGCATCGCCCATCTATATACAATATCAACCTCCCCTTTTATGGTACCTCAATTCCTCCTCACCTGGAAAAAAAAGTGCCCATCCCATACCGGCATCCACCCCTCCCCCCCCCCCCCATCACACACACACACACCACTACTGGCCTTATGACTATGGATACCGCCATTAGTCAACCCCTGGCCTGGCCTGGCGCCGGGGCTGCTAGCACACCTGTGTGAGGTATTTGCATGTGACCTGTACTATGTGTGCATGGATGCAGCCGTGCTACTCCTACAGATACAGATATTATGCTTCTCCTGATTCCTGGCCACATTCCCACTGCCTCGCTTGTGCGTTAGCATGTATGCACATGTCTTCGCAAAAGCATATTACCGATGAGCATGGGGATGCACCCTCGTATCTTCACAGAGAAACAAAATTGGGTGTTGCATTTCAGGGACTTATTGGAATGATGATGCCGAGGGAAAAGGGCCCCTCTTGCTTTCTATTATTTCCATAAATCTACCTGTCCTCCTCCCGCATCCCCCCCCCTCCCCCCTCCCCTCCCCCCTCCCCTCCCCCACGCCTCAGACCCCGATTCCGTGCTTACCTGTGTAATATCTGTGGCTGTTGGGTCATCACACCTGTATGACTCATGCCTATAACTACATGCACACAGGTATAAATTGCCCTTTCTGGCTGCCGGCCCACAGCAACGAAGATATAGCATGCCACAGAAGAAGAAAAAAAAATCTAGGTCCTCATGAATTTATGAGCGCTCCAAATTTCCCTTCAGTTGCCATACTTCAGGATACTTATAATTTATTCATCAGGTATGTGTGCCTGTCAGCATACTTGATGTAAGATAGCATGCCAAGCCCCTCACATAGAAAAAGGGTACCAGAGGTTGATTTTTAACATTTTCAATTATGGGAGAAGGGAGGGGAGGGGCATTAATAGCCATCCCGTGAAATTGCTAATATAGGCACAAAGGTAAATGGAAAAGGGTACCTAAAGGTGATTTAACATTTTCAATTATGGGAAAGGGGAGGGACATTTAAAGATAAACTCCAGTACTGGTAAAAAAATAAAATAATTCTCACAGAATCAAACGAAACTTACACTGAATGTTCAAGATTACAAATAAATGACATGTGCCAAACAATTTTGGAAGAAAATGTATACTGGCTGAGTAATGAGCATAGAAAGACAAGGAAATCAAGGTAGTACTAACCCCGACACCATGTGTCTTGTCCCATATATAGCTTTCTATGTGAGTGCTTTTTACTTTACCAAGACTCGGTCAAATTTATTATGATTATGATGACTCCAGAACCTTGCAGTGCACACCAATACTTTCATGCTACATGATCAACTGTTTCTGATCCTTTCCACACCTTTTCTTTCACAATGCAATCGCATTACCAGTACTAAAGTTTATCTTTAATAGAGAGGCAAGAAGGTATTTTAACAAGACTTCACTCCTTTCTAGCAGCTCCCCCTGTCTGAAAATTCATAAGAGAAGTAAATTCCCCTCAATTGCTACTTGTACAAAAATTGTAATTTAATATCAGATGCACATCGGCACACTTGATGGCAAATACTTGGTATTTTGATGATGAGATGTAGGATTTGGAATTTAATGAGGGTGCAAAATAAACTTGAAAAAATGGACAGGGGGGATGGCTGAAACCGAGGACAATGTGCCTCTAAAACTATTGGAAGAACTCTGTTTTTAAACAATATATGTCTATGGGTTGTAATGCATTATATCACCCCTGTCTTCCAGTAATATCTCAGTGAACATGAAATTTGGATGAAGTTCCTTGATAGATGAATAGTAGCTTTCAAAATTGAAAACGAGAGTACCTCGCTGTTGAGAATCCCTATGTTCTTCATAGCTTTTCTTGATGGATAAGTAGCATTGTGCGTGTAAGGTTAGAGAGATAATGATACATATTTCGGGTGATGTTTAGAGGCATATGGGTTGTTTACAGTCAAGTAAAGAGAGGAGAGAAAGATGTCGCAGGATTTCCTGATTCCTGACATCAAATAGATATTTTTGATAATGTCTTTGGACATAGGATTCCTTTTGTGGGAAAGGAAGGAGAAAGAAAGGGATGTTGCATAAACTTCCTAAATTCCTGACATCGGTTCTCTCTTGCCAACCCCAAGTTCATGTCTGACACACCTGTTTGCTCTGACTCACACATCACTTTATCTCTTGCTCTCTCGATCTATCGCTTTATTTTACTTCGCACTCTCTCTTCCTCGCTCTTCCTCTCTGTACATGTATATCCATATCTTTTTTTCGTGTGTATCTCGTCTCTGTTAATATCTGTCGTTCTCTCTCTCTCTCTCTCTCTCCTTCAGTATCATCATTATTATCTCTACCTGTCTACAATGTATCTACATGTATCTATCTATCTTATCTATCTTCCTATCTGCAATGTATCTATCTATCTGTCTATCTATCTATCTATCTATCTTTCTCCTTCTCAAACTTATTTCCAGTTGTGTTCTCTGTCAAGTGTCAATTTATTATCCATCCCAAAGCCCCATTTCGCATTGTCCCCCAAATCTTCAGGTAATCTTACCTCTAGTAACTCTCCTCAATTTCCCTTGTTTCATATACTTTGGATGTGATTGGCATTGAAACCTGCCACAGCAATCAATCTCTCTCCTAATTTAAGAAAGGGGGGAGAATATGATCCACAGTTCGTCTCAGATGTAGGTCTATGGTGTAGAACACCCTTCAATCGTGTTGGTCTGTTGCTTTACAGTGCCCTACATTCAATGCTCTACAGTGCCCTACATTCAATGCTCCTCCCCGACCATTTGGACCTCTTCCTCTTAAAGGTAAAGACCAGTATTGGAAACGCCCCAATTTCAAAAAATGAAATGGAAGCTCTTATTACCAATCATGTAAAAGAATATGTTTTGAATATTACATGATAACAATTTTGATGGGAAACCGCCTACTAATTAATATATTTGGTAAATTAATGTATCTCTCGCCTGCTGAGAGATATGAAATGCAAGTGTCACGCACGTGTGTGTAGTCCCATATACATCTTTCTGTGTAGTGTGTACAGTGCTTCTAACTTTATGAAGACTTGGCCAAATTTCTTATCATTTTGATGATTCCAGAACCTTGTAGTTACCTTTTCTGATCGATTTCACAACGTTTCTTTCACAATTCAATGGCACGACCATAACTGGTCTTTAGCTTTAAAGACAGACTAATTGCACTTTCGATTTCTCCAACATTTGCTTCGTTCTTGGACATTTGGATTTTCAGGTTTGTCCTCCTTCTCACCCTTCATTGAATAATTAAATAGTTGATGTGAAGCAGAGTTCGCCTCCTGATATGAAGTAGTCTGCATAGACATAAGTGAGTTATGCTATGGTCACATTACCCAAAAGTAGCCTGCTCGGCGGCCGAGCGGCGAGTTTTTAACCAATTCTGCCCGGCGGCTGCCCGGCCACCGAGCGGCGGCCGTCCAGGCATCGCTCGTTTTTAGGGGATCGCTCGGTCGCCGCCGAAGTTTTAGCGCGGAGTTAAAATTTGGGCGGCGCCTGCTCACTTTTCACTCGCCGCCCAAAATACGCTCGGTGCCTGGGCGGTCGCCGCCCGGGCACCGACCTAATTGCTGGGCGATGCCTAAATTCCAGCAGCGACCGAGCAGGCTACTGATCGGTCGGTCGCTGCTCAGATTTGTGACCATAGCTTAAGGATGGCAGTGGACTGTTTAAAGTAGACATTTTGGTTTATCTGTCTCGTTTTTTAAATTTGTATTTCATCGTTTAATGTTGGAGGATTTGTTACAATTACGTACAAATTAGTCCTTTCTCTGCCTCGCTTCCCAAATTGCCTCTTTCTCACTCTCTTCATTTCAATCTCATGGTTCACTACCTACCCTAGTCCACCCACCCATCTCCTCCACCTCTGTACCACTTGACATCTTTACACCACCGATGTCCTTGCCCTACCTAGCACCATCGATCTTCTACACCCTCTACCACCTCATGCCTCCGCCCTTCCAGTCTCCTATGTCTTGCTATGACGGTCCACCCTGACCTACCAATAGGGACTTTTAGATTTGCACGACGAGAACATGGACTGCCACGTGTGACATCCTTTGAAGGCACTGCCACCTTACTAGTGATCTACAGTACCTCTCCCTCTTCCTTACAATTCTTGTCCCCACCTATCTGGTAAACCTCACTGCCATCTTCTACCCCATCTGACTGATGCTCCCCTTTTATTAATTGTCCTACATCTAGAGTCCTGCCCTTGTTTCATAACTTTCAAACACCTGCCTCACCATACCAATGCCAATCTTATCCCATTTAATTTCTTGGACCCACCTATCTCGTACACATCTGTACCACCTTCCAGCCCCACCTGATCAATGCTCCTCCCCCTTCCATACTTATTCTCCGTAGGCCCCACCCATGTCCCACACCTCTCTCCCATCTGCCTTGTGCTACCACCGCCGATCTACCCCCTTCCAGTTCTTGGTGGCTCCACCCATCTCGTATACCTCAGAAATGTCCAGCACCTCTCTCCCATCTGCCTCACGCTACCAATGCCGATCTTCCCCCTTCCAGTTCTTGATGGCTCCACCCATCTGGTACACCCCTCTACCACCCCCACCCTACCCTACCCCACTCTACCAAGCAAGAATCCTCTAGCTTCCCCCTTCTACTTGCCCACCCTTGCACACCTGTCTGACTCATTGCCGCTTCACCCCATGCTTCCAGCCCGCAAATTATAGGAAACGTGATAAATTTCCTCATCAGACTGGGCTCCCCAGGGGTGGAGGAGAGCAGGACATAGCCGGGATAATACTGGGCTTCCTGCACTGTGCGGCAAAGGGTGTGCTTCCTTCACGTGGGCTAGCTCTAGCTACGCATTCTTCTCTCCTTATTGTCAATTTTCACTTTCTTTTTCGCCGACCTGTCCTCCCTCCCCCCACGATGAGCACACATTGAGTGCAGTTTCTTGGCAAGTTGAGCGCTGAGGCCGGCCGAGTAGATGTTTGCGCAGCAAGTAGTTTTTGTATCTCTCATGATTGGTCACGGTTGTGGATGTGCGACATGGATTAGGCCTACTGTGTCATATACTTTCAGTACAATCTGTCACATTTTTTAAAGCAGTATGCCACAGATATATCATCTCTGAAATATTTTCACAGTATAAATGTAACAAATCTGCCACAAATTAATGACTCATTTGATATGAAATTCTCGTGTCTGATCTTGAGTTTTACGTGTTTCTTGTCGTCCATCGTTTATCGGTGTTGACTTCTATGCCCATCTTCCTAGCATTTCCTTTAAATTTCACTGTGTTGAAACAGCTGAGTCAAAGGTATGATAAGTTATTCACCCCTTTCTGCAAAGAAATAATATTGTTGTTAGTAGTGCTTGCAGTATAAATACATCTCTCGAGTTATTTGTTTAGTAATAAGTCAAAGATTTGCTTATATAGGAAAACGTGCCTGGACGATGATTGCTAAACCTGCTAATGTCTGGTAATTGTTACCAAACACTTCCAATTTTTGTTAATGAAGTTTTCTGTGAATTTACACGTAGCTATGGGCCAGTCTTGTGTTATTTTATTAGCATGTGCAAAAAAGAACTGGTTCTTCAGAGTAGCATATAACTGCTGCCATGTTTTGAGCTGACTTTGGTGTCATCTGAGAGCTTTGAATCGTACCTTGTTTTTCCTCTAATTCTCTTGTCATTTCTTTGAAAAATCAGTCTGAATTAGGTATCACCTCTTGTTAGCCTTGCAGTTTTGATGTCCTGTGGTTTCCCCCTTTTTGTCTCGCCTGCGTAGCAAAAAGCGAGACATAGGCGCCGCTTTTCCGGTGACGGCGGCGGCGACGGCGACGGCGACGGCGACGGCGACGGCGACGGCGACGGCGACGGCGACGGCGTCAACATCAAAAACTTAACCTAAGGTTAAGTTTTTGAATTTTTGGTATAATTTTTAAAGTATAAGTTCTTAGTCAATGAAACTTTGACTATAGGGTAATCAAGTATCCCCAATCATGTGAGTAGAATTTCAGATCACAAAGTCAAGGTCAAAGGTCATTTCAGGTCAACAGACTTGGACTATGTTGTAGCATCATCATCGAAAACTTAACCTAAGGTTAAGTTTTTGAATTTTTGATATAATTTTGAAAGTATAAGTTCTTAGTCAATGAAACTTGGACTATAGGGTTATCAAGTCTCCCCAATCATGTGAGTAGAATTTCAGGTCACTAAGTTAAGGTCAAAGGCCATTTAAGGTCAACAAACTTAGACTTTGTTGTGGCATCAACATTAAGATTTTCAAAATGCTTCTTCTTCGTTATTTTTCAACCGATTTTGATTCTGATTGTTTCATATGATAGGGCTAGGAGGGATTTAAAATTTCTACACAGAGTCGTGAAATTCATTATCTATGCTAATTTATGCAAATTTATTCGAAATCACAAAAAAGGCTTCTTCTCCTTCATTTCTCGACCGATTTTGATTTGGTTTGCTTTATATCGTAGAGCTAACTTTGGTACACTAAACTTGTACACAGAATTTTGAAATTGTTCTCGATTAATTAATTATGGTAATTTATGCAAATTTATTCCAAAAATAACAAAACTTGCTTCTTTTCCCTCATTTCTTGACCGATTTTGCCTTATCTGGTAGAGCTTAATTTGGAACAATAAACTTCTACACAGAATTGTGAGATTTTGCTCCATTGATTATTTATGGTACTTTATGCAAATGAAATGAAATTATGTCCCTTCCAGGGCATCAAATTTCTATTTTTTGACCAGTTCAAAAGTGTACCACATAAAATTTACGATATTTGTTGTTGTGAGATGCGGATGAGCGCTACGTCATTGACGTTCTGGTTTATCATATTGAATTGCGTTATGCAGGCGAGACCGCCGAGAGCGTTTCCCTTGTTTTTATTTCTGTGACTAAAGTAAGTATTAATACTAGACATGAAAGTTTGCACGTATTCAGTTTCATGACAATACTTTACTATTTGGATAAGTTAAATTTATCAGTGGTTTACAGATGTATCTGAAGATTGTCACGTTTCCTATGGAACAATCTGTACATGTATCTTTGTAGAGTCCATGCGATCATTTCATTCTGTATCTCTCTCTCAACTCTAGGCCTGTCGAAAGCAGGTTGGGTTGTCGTTATATCCTGATCAAATACATCCCCGTTCACCTTTCAGAGAAAATCAGCGGCGAACGTGAACTGTTGGAAATGAACTTTGACAGTGCAAACGTCGCAATGGTACGTGTAACCCATTTTCATCAATGGCCACTTCCAGAACCGGAGAATCATCGATGAAAGTTGCCTACAATCATTCCATTTTTTCTCCTCTTGACTTCTCCCTTTCCTCCAGTTTGGGCGTTCGTCTAGACATGTTGTAATCAAATTATGCAGCCTTTATGAAGTGTGCAGAAAACTTCAACAAATTTGCACTTTTTTTCCTGCTATGCATTCTGCTCTCTTTCTCTCCCCCTCGCTCCCTCTTTTCCTCACTATCTCCAACCCCTCTCTCTCCCTCCTCTCCACACATGCATAATATTATGCACATCTGTGGGACAGTCGAGCACGAAACCTTCCACATTCACCTTTTGTAAATGCACTTTTTGAACTTTTCCTTTGACTGGTCATGAGTTTTATGAAATGATATTTGTCTGACATGAAAGCCAGAAATATGTGACCCCCGTGACCCTTCCCTGTCAACTTGAGCTCAAAACTGTTTGAGTTGAATCATTCCTATCCCCTTATACAGTAGAAGGTATTATCACATACAAAGTCATGCGCTGTATTCTTTTGTGGGGCTCCAGATTGAACAGTGTTTTGGGGAGATCCATGATTATTCTTTAAAGCTTTTTGAATGGTATGATCATACAGGGATGATATAATTGACATGAACTTTATGTTAAATACAACTGCTGTGGTAGGAGCTACATGCAGGTATACTGAGATTTGTTAAATAGGAAACTGTTTTTAAGACAAAGCACCAGGACCAAGTTAAAGGTCTAGTAGGGTGCATCGGTTTGTGGTTCCTGTCCGACTCACATGACATACTTAAATTTTGCGCAAAGCAAAAATTGATCGATTCTGAGAGAATTAAAACAAATTCTTTACAAATTTCTTCTTTGAGGATTCTCACATGAAATGCTTTGTGTTTTGTAATATGCTGCACGATACATTCACAAGATGTAATGAAGAAAGAAAAAAAAAATCTCTGGTCTGATGTTTTTATTGATAACACTTCTCAACTGTGTTGTCTAGTCATGTGAAGTGGAAAAATCACACGTGTAAACAACCACTTGGGAAAACACTTGTCTCTCTCATTTTAACATTGTCCTCTGTCTCGAAGGGGCTGTTCACACCAGAGGAAATTGATGCAAAACTTGCGTAATGAAATGTTGTATAGAGTATCATTTTATAGCATAAGGGGCATGCACACTGGATAACAACATCGTGTAAAGAAACTAGTATGAAGAGGTCACATGGCATGACATCAGAGCGTGCTTACGATAAGCCACGCCCTTCAATCAGTTTCATTCGATTTGACTTTCATACTATTACAGGACCCCTATTCTCCCGGTTCGAAACAACGATTAGAACATTTAGACTAGAGACAATTGCTTTATATCGTATAGCTGTGATTTTTTTGTACAGCCATACAGTGATATCGGGTGGTCTGAATGGATGCGAAGAGAGGAGCTAGCAACAACGAACGTAAAGATCAATTGCTTTCCCACGCTGTAAAACAAACACTGCAAACTTCAAGTTTCTCTTTCTCTGAAGTAGGGTTTTCCTCCCCGTTTATATTTTCCCTCGCTTCTCCCTTCCTGCGTCGAGGCTCATCTTTCATTATTGTCTGAGGATGATATGCCTTAGGATGAGACAAACATTTCCTCTCAGTTTGGTAAATGATCTTTTGTTTGGATTGTGTTGTGAAGAGATTTCAAGTGCGATCATTAATTAATGCTGGACTCTGTTCGGCAGGTAAAACAAAAAATAGACGACAAACAAGGAAGATAATTTAA